ATAATAATATTTTTATTGACACTTCATATAAGTGTCAATATTATGTAACGGGCTCACCCCGTTACATCACCCCCCCCCTCAACCAACAGTCACATTAGTGACTGTTTAGTGACTATGGGAAAGGAGCACTTGTTGAATTTTCCTTCATTCAACATTTTCTCGCTATGACAAAGTCAATGCGCGTCGCTGCTAAGGCAGCTAAGAGCTCGGCTGCACGCCTGTGTGCAGCCGCTACTGAGGCTTCACAGCCTCAGACACTAATGTGTCTGCTGGAAGTCAACATCAGCCTGTAACGCCTGTTGCAGGTTCACGTAGCGCTTCGCCACGTGAAGATGTTGACCCAGAGTTAGTCGTTGACTACTCTGGTGAGTCGGATGACGCATCCGGCTCAAAGTCACCTATTCCACTCCCGGGCTCTCCCGGGGTGATACCTCTTCTTCTAATGCTACGAAGAGGGATCGTGGTACATTGAGTGAATCAATGTTTCGTGGAATGTTCGGGTCGTCTGATGAATCAGACGACTCGCCAAACGAGTCGAAGGATAGTGACTCGGGTGGGGACCGTAAGGGTGATGTCAGTGCTTCTACTGACATCAATGCTCATAGTGTCGGTACTTCTGTTGACACCACGCAGGAGGCTTTAGACCGCAACGTATTGCGTCTAGCTCCTGATCGCAAGCCATGGATGCTACCTAAGCATCTGCTTGATCGTTGGTCTGGAAAGACCAACGAACGGTTCCCCATACCGTTGTTTGATGCGTTAAAGCTTCATGGCCTTGACGCCAGTGCGAAGAACTTTCGCACTGAGAACGATTATTACATCGATGTGTTCCTTGAACATCGATGGTATGGCCCACACAAGAAGCGTGAGGCCGACGCGTTCCTCCAATCTTGGAACGCGTTTATCACCAACGTTAATCGTTGGGAAAGAGGCTTGATTTCAAAGACTTTTTGCTAGCCGCAATAAGTTTGAGAAACGAAGTACGTCCGGAATAATATTTTTGACAATATTACCTTTTCTTATAATATTGTTCCTAGATCTCCTTGAAGTTGGAGATGCCCTCTCATTGGTTGATATGGGCCATCATATCAACCAACGCACTGACCAATGACCGATGGACGCGCGCAATGAGAGGAGGGCAAGTCGTCAACATACATAGTTGTAGTTTAATATAGTTAACATAGGTTATAGCAGATTAGTTTTATTGAGATAGTTAACTATATTGAATACAGTTTTCTTTTCCTTCTCAACTAAGCGTGTGTTTACTTGATTGACTTTCTCTGCTCACGTGTACGTGAGGTAATTGAGGCACCTGCTTTCACTGTCGTCAGTGAAGGCAGACTATACTGTAATCAGTATAGTCGGAGGGTGCCCCTTTACAGCCCCATTACATCAAGGGGTTGACATGCACCCAAATCAAGTTTTGAAATTAAATCGAAGCCTGTGCGGACTGAAACAATCTGCTGCAACGTGGTTTAAGACGATTTCAAGTGTTTTCAAGAACATGGGTTTTATGGCATGTGTTTCGGATACGTGCGTTTTTGTTTGTCAAGATGATAATAATTCATGGGGTTACATGACGTTGTATGCTCACAACATGCTTATTGGAGGTATTTCGAGAGAATCAATAAAGAAGGTTGCAGATGGATTAATAAGCCATTTCGACTTAAGATCTTGGGAAAAGTGCGGTTCACTCTCGGTATAGAAGTTAAATATTAGACTAATATGAAACAACTCAAGATTAGTCAAAGCTTATGTATTGCTAGAATGGTTGAAAAATCTAACAAAGTCAATTTAAAACCGGTATACAAATTGAGTGTGGAAGGCCAAAACATGGTCAAACGTGAAGAGAGGGACCCAAAAATGGAGAATCGTTCGTATCGATCTCTAGTGGGATCACTTCTATATGTGGCAGCTTGAACAAGACTAGATATTGCGTTGCAGAGTGTCAGTTGAGTAGACATCTGGAGAAACCAAGTGAAGAGCACTGGAATGCGGCTATTCGCGTGCTACGCTACCTGACGTCAACTGCTGCTAACGAAATATGCTATCAAGGCAGGTCAGGTGAACTGAAGCTGAGTGCATTTAGTGATGCTGACTGGGGAAGTAACAAGGATAATCGACGGTTTACATCAGGAGTGATGGTGATGATCAACAATTCTCTAGTAATTTCCAAGTTATGATTATAAAACAGTACATCTTTAAGCAATGCAGAAGCTGAATATGTGGCACTTTCATTGTGCGCTCAAGAATTACTCTGGACGAAGAATTTATTGCAGGAGATGAAAATAAAGATTGACGTACCAATTACTGTGCACGAAGAGACAACCAGAGTGCAATTGCGATCGCGAAAATCGAGGGATATCAAAGTCGTGCGAAGCACATTAATATACAGACCTCTTTCCAATAAGTAATCCCCCGATAAGTTATAACCTCCGATAGGTTATTTAATTTCGTGTCCACCGAGCTCGTACTATGGTCGCTAAGCTATAAGTTATATTCAGGCAGGGCTATATAACATTTAAATTGAGTACTTTTCTTGTACTTTAGACGAGAAAACCTACTTAAACCACATGTCACGGGTAGATTCGGTATGGGTGCGTTGCGTAAAGTCAAGTTGAAGGTCGCGGTAGAGCTCTATAAGCGGCTTGTGGACTGAGATATATCGATTAGGTAGCAATTATCACGAAGGAGGTTGGTCTCTTCAATTCTGGCGAACTTGTTTGAGACAGGCGCCACATCTCCACTAACCCCTTCCTCCTTTTGCGCCTTTCAAGAGCAGGAACGGTAGGGTAACTAGCGTAGATAGGGATGCATAGAAGAGAACGAATAGCGGAGAAAGTCAAGCATATCAGAATCATGATTACTAAATATTCAAGCTTTTACCTCTTCCACAAATCTCATTCTCGCTCAGCTCCGGCTAAGCAGTCTCATCCTCTCCAATAGGATTGCAAAGATCTGAAACCGTCATCAAATCCCAGACACGCAGCTGCTCTAGATGGTCTCTCATCTCCTCCTCCAGCTTTTTGACATCTTCTAGGCAAAACACTGTTATACACTGTATATTACATATAGCTTTTACTTATAGCACAAAAAAGACAAGTTTACGACATGTCTCACACGTTTGGGCCTTGTCCAACAGATAAAGGAGTCAAGGACTTAGGTTCTCTTAGCAGTCTGAACCTTCGGGCTGGACCTGCCAGGTTTCTTTTAATCATCTAGTTCTCTTATGTACAATACACATGATTCAATAAGTTATAACATTCGTTAAGTTATGGGTATCGTCGTCCGCCGTACCCATAATTTAACGGAGGGAGCTGTGTACGATATCATCTTGTAATGGGGCACCCTCCGACTATGCAGATTACAGTATAGTCTGCCTTCACTGATGACAGTGAAAGCAGGTGCCTCAATTACCTCACGTACACGTGAGCAGAGAAAGTCAATCAAGTAAACACACGCTTAGTTGAGAAGGAAAAGAAAACTGTATTCAATATAGTTAACTATCTCAATAAAACTAATCTGCTATAACCTATGTTAACTATATTAAACTACAACTATGTATGTTGACGACTTGCCCTCCACTCATTGCGCGCGTCCATCGGTCATTGGTCAGCGCGTTGGTTGATATGATGGCCCATATCAACCAATGAGAGGGCATCTTCAACTTCAAGGAGATCTAGGGACAATATTATAGGAAAAGATAATATTGTCAAATATTATAGTTATAATAATATTTTTATTGACACTTCATATAAGTATCAATATTATGTAACGGGCTCATCCGTTACCCATTTTGTCCGTGATCAAGTCAAGGCCAAGATTATACAGCTGGAGTATATAGATACTAATCCACAGCTCGCCGATTTTCTAATTAAGGCAATTGCGACGAAGAAGGTTCAATTTCTCGTGGCGAAGTCAAACATTGGAAATTTCTCGTCGAGGAAGAGTGTTGACGACGCAAACTGAGCGGATGCTTAAGCGGCGTGCTGATGTAACTAACACTATTTTGAGTGGACGACACCACTGGCAGATGTTTGGGGGCTAAGAAACAAAAAGCCTACAGAAGAATTTTCTAGATTGCTCTTTCCAAGCATGAATTAATTAGCTAAAAGTATTTGTAGGGTTTTCTATAAGAGCTAATATGTTTTTTTCATTGACTACCTCGTTCACAGTTAACCCTCTGTAAGTAAATAAACAATAATATCGATTCCAGAGCTTCAACTGAAGCTGAGTGGAATGTTCTAGTGGGTTCTAGATGCTTCTATTAATATTATAGGTCTTCGATAGCTTGATGTTTGGGTGTTCTACTTGTGAATTGACAAATCACTGACGAGGCCTCGCGGGGGCCGAAATGCGTTTGGCGCGCGCTAATATAAGCTGTTTTTTATTTCATTTTTACTTTCTAGCAATGAATAGCTATAGCAAGTTGTACCTGCATATCATATTAAAATAGCCTGGGAAATTGTTACGTAATACTGCGGCCACGACCTGTCCCACCTCGCAATCATTTTGAATGGGAGCGTGCGTCACCCGTCGATGTCAGTATAATGGCCAATCGCAGGCGGGAATCCGTTGCACCTATCATAATTTATCAAAATAGAAATAGCAGTGTTTCTTGATTGGTCAGAGACACGCGTCTGTCTTTTAATCTTGTGTGGCGCACACGACGCAGAACGACTTGAGAGTAACAGTATATCATTTCACGAAGGCTTAGAGACTAACAACTCGTACAATTCTATTGAACAATGATCGCCCGTACGACCTTAAAGCGATCGCTTGGCGTATTTTCTGCTGCCCGCTCAGCCAACGTCGTCCCTTCTCTTAGCCAGACGCGTATGTACCACGAGAATGTGATTGACCATTATGAGAACCCGCGTAATGTTGGCGCCATGGATAAGAATGCAAAGGACGTGGGTACAGGTCTCGTAGGAGCCCCCGCCTGTGGTGACGTGATGAAGCTACAGATTCAAGTGGATGAGAATGGAACAATTGTAGACTCCAAGTTTAAGACGTTCGGTTGTGGTTCTGCCATCGCGTCGTCATCGGTGGCTACTGAGTGGCTCAAGGGCAAGACCGTTGAGGACTGTCTTAAGATTAAGAACACGGATATTGCGTCTCATTTGAAGCTACCACCTGTCAAACTGCATTGTAGTATGCTAGCAGAGGACGCTATCAAGGCTGCTATCTTGGACTACAAGAACAAACAAGGGTAAGATGGCACAGGATAGCAACAATCTGATCGTCGCCACGGTTTCGTCCATACATATCGTTGAGAGAAAAGGAACATAATGTAGTCAAGGTTAGCTGGCGCTCGGTGCAGGCCAAGGTGCTCGCCATGATAGGGCAGATGAAAGTGATCAGAACAGTCTCGAGAGGAAAAGCTGTGAACTAATCAGTTGCTAATTTATTGTTTGCCATCATTGAAGCTAATTCTTGTATTTTAGCCATTTATTTGTCACCTGCTCACTCACAAAAACCTAAAGCGCTAGCGTATTTTTGAGTATCCTGTACGCAGTCAGACGCCTACACAACGCCACGCTATTGCTCCCTCGCTCTCTTCTTCAGCAGTTCTAATTTTTCAGTTGACGACGAGGACTTCTGCTGCTGGAGGCAAGTCATTTGTTCTTATGTTTATCGATTGCGTGCTCAACTAATTGACTGCTGTAGTTTTAGTCTGTGCGCGCCAATCCACGGCATTGCAGTAACTAAACGTTCCATTAATCTCGTTCTGCAGTAAGCATCGAGGCCTATTCCTTACGTCGACTCAGCTCGTCATGGCCACCGAGATGTGTCGCACTGGCTTTCGCTCCGTGTACCTACCACAACATATTGTGGTGCTCGTCCATGGCAACAATGGTTCTGCCGCAGATTTTGACGCTATGGAAACATCATTGCTGACTAAGTTCGGTAAGCGACAGATGTTAATTATCAAGGCTCGGTCTAATGAGCTAGACACTTCATTGGGTGTGGATATTGGTGGCGCAAGACTTGCCAAGGAAGTCGTGGAAGCGGTGTTTGAGTATGATTTGTGTCCTATCGTGACAAAGTACAAACTCTCGGTCGTCGGTCATTCGCTTGGCGGACTCTATGCACGATACGCCCTTGTTTCGATCATGGACGCACTGAGCTGCCTCCACGTTGAATATATCGATTTCGTCACAATTTGCACGCCTCATTTGGGCTCGAGACGGGCGAGGGGACCATCGACCATGAAGGTTGAAAGGCATTCTAGCAGTTGCAAATGGATGAGTTGTGAGGTTGTACAATTGATTGACTTATTGATTATGATAAACTGAACAGAATATCCTTCGTCTGGGAGTGCATAAAGTACTTGCGTCGCAGATATTTTACGGACGGACAGGCATTGACCTTTTGCTAAATGGTGAGTTGTTTTATCGTGTAATGCGAAGCCTCGTCAACTGGTTATTACAAATGTGGTGTGTATTGCAGTACAAGAACAGCAAGAAGGAGTTACAGATGCCGATGCTGCGGAGCCTGCACGCCCCTTATTAGAAGTGATGAGCGATCCTGATTCTAGGTTTGTCCGCTCGCTCAAGCGCTTTCAACACGGCACGTTGGTAGCTATGACCGATGGTGACGTGGTAGTGCCGTATCCCTCGGCTTCCATGCGCAACAACAGTCCTTACGTTAGCACTTTCTTGACGGAACGCTACACGGACTGGCAATGGCATATCCACCACTCTGGTTTCGCAGAAGATGCTGGGATTTGTGGTACCCACCCTGCTTATGTAGCATTTTTGGATCGACTTAACTCGAAGGTCGATAGTTCGATTGAAATTGAGGACATCAAATTGGGGCTCGACGCAAGCTGCACACCAAGGTATCCCAGCATTGAAGGTTTTGACTGTGACAATAAACAAGAGGTGGAGTTTCCACATGAGATGCTTTGCAGTCTACAACAGGTGCTTCCGTGGCGACGCATTGACGTGACAGTGGAGCCCGGTGGCATGATGGGCAAAATGCGTCTGCATGACTGGCCTATCAGCAAGATGCAACCTCCTGACTGCCGTGCAGACGAGTTCATCGATCTACTATGTGATATGATTGGAGCCGATCACGAGATGCGTCCTATAGCAACACCGGATACCGATAAGAAGTTGCATGAACATTCTGCGCTTGCATTAGCCCGCCGCCTTTAAAAAGTTGCTAACCGAATTGGTGACAAATTGTCAAGCGAGCAAGGAAGTGTTGATAGTGATGCTGAAACACATGAGTCCGGGGTATCTTCAACAGCGTCGGGTGACTTTTCAGTAGCATGTTCAGGAATCTAATACAGTGGTGTTTTGTATTGTTCAAAATATTTGAGAAATGAAAACAATTGTCGTAAAATATCACATTAGCAATATTCAAAAGCTACCGTGTTTTGTTACAGTATCTTCTCGAACATTTGTTTTATGTTCTCGAACGTTTATTCTCGAAGAAACGAAAATACGAGATGTTTGGGGGTTCCTTTTTCGCCAATCCACGTCCTTTGCGATTGATGTTCCAAAACTGCATACGTAATCATCAAAACATTCACATCGTGTTGTCAGTTTTTAATTTGCAAAAAAGACAACAAGACAGAAAAAAATGAGCACAATGAGCAACACCAGTGGATCAACCGAATCGACGCAGCAACAGACGCCTGTACAGCGTAACTTTGTCTTTGTTCTTCCACCACCGCCCACCATATGGGTGCAATTTAGCAATGGCATGCAAATGGGCTTTACACCGTCTCCGGGGCAGCACTTACAGTCGGTGCTACACGGTGTCCCGCTCTTTGGTGGAGAGACTAATGGAAACAATAGTAACGGGTTTCTCAATGCTTTGAACGAGCTCTTTCAGCGCGCACAAGAACAACAGCACGGTCCTCCTCCAACGAGCAAATTGTTTTTGGATAAATTGCCAATGAAAATGTGGACTCAAGACATGCAAAAGACGGAGAGTCAAACGGACTGTGTCATTTGTTTAAGTGAGTTTGAGAAAAACGACAAGGTCATTTCTCTTCCGTGTGGTCACACTTTTCACAAGGACTGTGGTATGACGTGGCTAATTGAGCACAATGTGTGCCCTACTTGCCGATACCAGTTACCTACACAAACAGAACCTACCACGGCACAGGCAGCTACACAGACTTCACCGGGAGCAACGTCAGAGCCAGAACAAGAGCTTCAATTGCAGGGCGCAGCTGTAAACGTCACGGGGGTGCGCCGTCAACGGCCGACAGAGACAAATCACCCACGCGATGTCCGTCAGCGGGTAAACGAGCCATCTTTGACATCGGTGGACGAAGATGTGGACATGGATTTGATGCTGGAGGAAGAGGCAGAACGCTTTGTGAAGGAAGAAATGGAACAGCGTCGATCTGTATCGAATGACGATAGCGTTGAGATTCAGGACCGTGACGTAGAAGAGTTTCTTCACGAAAGATCGAGTCTCTCACATCAAGACTCGGTGTAGCAAAATTGGAGACGACATAATAGCTTGTAGAGTAGAATAGATTACTTTCATTTTTCATACATTGACACATGTTGTGAATTTATCAGAACGCCAAACTTTTCTTATCGAGGTATTTATGAGAGCTGAGGAATTTTTGAGTGATTGCTTACTCATTGATCTTGTTCTGATGTATATATGCTCTAAGTAATCTCTTATAAAAGCGTGACTGTCATTTCCAATACCAGTAGTTTTACGTATATAGAATATAGACTGGAGCAGGCTCCAAATGAGATCCATGCGCCAAAATCGAGCAGATCTTTAGCACATTACAACCACCATGCGCTACGTGCAGATGAAGAACCAAATGAGGTGGACTAATCGTAAAGTGTTAGCCTTATGGGCGTCTTACCTGTCAACAATGATTCATATTAAGTCTTGAAGCTATATGACAATTAATAATGGCATGTAGTTTTTCATCTGCCCGGGATCGCAGTACAGTCACTAATTATAAAGTTAACTGTTTGTTTGTGGTCGAGTTTTCTTGTACTCCGCGAATCATCAGCCAGTGTCATTCATACCAATTGTTAGTTTGGCTAGAAAACGAAGCCCGAAAGAGCTATAATTTACCGAGACTTGTCAGCTTCTCACTATTAAAATCCATATTTATATTTTGACTGCAGCTATGTGAACCGTTTTGGGGTAGCTCTTAAGGCAGTCTGCTGTCGAGAATCTACTACAATGAGATCTATACGATTAGAGTCTTCAAAAGTCACATGTTTGAGATTAAAAGGACCAAAGCTCTGCAGAGCATTTAGGAAGATGTACCACAACTGCTGCAATAGTACGTTGGTCTAACTGATGATGGCTTTATTAATTGACGACTGTCGTCCACAGGGATGGGCAGAAGTCAACCTTTGTTGGAATTCTGCTAAAGGCCATGATGGCCGAACGAGAAGTCTTGGCACTCTTGCTGGAATATGATACATAGTACCATAACTCTTGTTGCAAAGTTGGAGACTTTCAAATGAGGAAGTGTGATGCCACAGCGACAAAGAGATCGTACTACTTTTTTGGGCCAAAGCCAAGTACGCTTCTTATATCGCACACAAGCTGAAAGAATGACGCTACAAATTGCAATCGATTTTCTACTTTCCTAATTGATACGTGGAAGGAGAGAAGAGAGCACTCGCAGTTGGAGCTTTACAGCGACACTGGCAAAGTAACAGGAAGTCCAACGTAGTAATAAAGTTTGCGATTAGCTATCTAGCGACCAAGTCACTCGAATCAATTCGGGAAGTATCACTTCCCAAATATCGCTTCCAAGTGTTATGACGTCACAATGAGACACTAAAGTATCACATGATTTTCCCTAACGTTTTGCCCTGTAGATAGTGACTACCTCTCGTTCGTTTGAAAGATCGAATTTTCAGCGCTAAGACCGTCATGACGACGGTCAGGGGAGCGCTGAAAATCTTATCGATCGGTAACGAACGTGGACTAATGCAAACCTTGTGCATACGAACGATCGACAGCGGGAAAAATGGTCGACTGATCAAACAGTCGTGGTGATGTTTTGTGTTTATGCTTCTTTGTGTTTCTATCGATACTACTTTATAAAGAAGTACCTGGCGTGAACTCGATCACTTTGGGGAAGCACCTTTCTTGCATCGTGGTACGGATCTTTTTGCACATCCTTTAATTTTCAATTGCATTTTTCAGTAAATTTATGGGTACATGTAAGGCATCGTGCGGTAATTTGCATCAATAATGGGAAAATTCACTACCCTTATATAGAGTGGTCTAATCGAATATTTCAGTTAATGACAAAAAACTTGACGATTACCTCGTCTTTTTCCAAACAAGAAAGAAATTTCCATTTGAATGTCGGAGCGGAAGCGTCAGCGAGTCGACGCTGATGCTCATCGTCTTGAGCTCTATGCGGACGATCTTCGCCAGATTGGCTCATCCATCGGATCCTGTCTATTTCGTAAGCCTTCGACACGTGTATCAATTCCTGTACGGGCTTCCACTTCACCTTCTAGACCACGTAAAGTCTCATCAAAGACGGCGTCTCCACCGTCCCGGTCCCTTTACTCAGTGATTTCTAAGTCTGCCTACGCTTCGAAAACAAGCGCTACAAGTCACGAGAGCACGTGGCAAATAACGCTGCATCGTCTGGCACAGGTCATCTCGGAGAAAACAGGGTCAAAGGAGGCACTGGAGCGCTGCGAACGTCTCGTTCGTCGGTTCGAGGCTCTGTCCGACTCGATTCGACTTTGTCAGGAGAAGCTGCGGCAAGCGGGAGATGAAGTGGCATTACAGGACCGAGTAGAGAGGCAATTGGCTCAGGAGGAGGCAGCCTGGGAACAGCAGATGCAGGTCAGAGAGGAGCGCGTAGCAGCAAAGGAGGTGGAGCTGCAGGATCTGAGGGCAGAGAGTGCTGCCGATGTGACGGAGGAGGACCAGGATCAGGATCAGGATGAACAGGCAAAATTGGCGGAGATTGCGGTGCTAAGAGAAGCTCTGGCACTTCGTGCAGAGGAGAAGAGGGACATTGAGGCTGCTATCGCCTCGTTGCAAAGGAAGAATGCCCGACGCAGTGCAGCGATAGCAGAAAAGGAGAAACAGAGACATGAGCAGAGTGTGGATGTACAGGCAGATGCTGCAGCGGCGGCAAGGGAACAAGTGCTGAGAGAGTTGAGGAAGGAGAAGGAAATGCTGCAGCGAGAGATTATTGCGGCCGAGGAGATGGAGGAAAAACTGGACGAGAATGTCCGGGACCTGCCTGCTTTAAAGGAAGAAGTGGCGGAGGCGAAGAAAACGAGGGTACAGGTTCAGACGCGCGTGGACTCGTTGAGATTAGAGCTAGCTCGACAGAAGAGGAAGATGCGACATATGGTCGACGTGCAGATCTTGACGGCGCGAGACACCAACCCACCCACGCTGCGCGAAGAAGCAGTGTTGCTGCACTTGTTGTACGAACACGAAGGAGAGATGGGAGTGAATGAGCTGAAACAGGAGGCCAGTGAAGTGCTAAAGGACCACGGCAAGCCGAATGGTAATGGGGTGGTGATTCGTGCGCTCTACTCACTGGTGGCAAATGGCTTGGTGCAGATTGATCGATCGTACGGCAATGGTCTCGTCACTTTGCTCCTGGTCTGAAAGTATTACTCTTTGTTATTTGACTTGAATACTCGGGCCTTCTGCGTGCACGACCATATAAAAGAGATATTGACATCCAAGAAACTACCATAATTCAATTATAATAGTCCTTCCATGATGCAGCAGAACCGTCCAGACGTACAATCAGGTTTATGAACGTACCAAAACTTTTACCATACCGCCAACGGTGGCGAAAAAAGTAGATTCCAAATACCGTCGTTTATCACCATTTACTTACCGAACGACCAAGCGATGTCGTATTTATACAGGGCTCGGAAAAGTGCGAGCAGATATGGTCTTGAATGATTTTGTAGCCTCGATGACAAAGCGCATGGCTGCAGCGAGACCACTAAGCGATGTTCGGACGCCACATAACGTTTTCCGCTACTGAACATCAAAATAAGCAATTACAATCCCCAGTCCAGCTCAAGAATTGTTTGTCCAGCAAAACCTTGTATGCCATTTGTCAGACACGAGTGTCAAAGGTGGAATCGTCACCAGACAGCAAGTTAACAAAAGCTCTAACCGACCGGTGTGCTATAGATGTTTCCGCCCGATCGAACGCTGCCCGCCAAATCTGCGTGCCTGTGCGATTCCAGCACTCCTCGGACGCCACGGTATCTTCTTTCGGTACGACATCCCCCAGCGTCAGCGTGCTTTACAGCTTTAATTGGTGCTGCCCTTGTTATAGCTGCGACTGTATCTATCAAATTCAGACACACCAGGTTAAATTGTAACGATTGAGATCTCAACTACATCCAACATGTGTCAAACACCATCTGTTTCATTGGAATGATCAAGACTGCAAAGCACTCTTCCACTCCAGAATCTTATTGCATGGAAGACGAAATCCATGCTGTGAGCATTTAAAAGTTGCTACATCACACGCTGTCTTCAACACAAGGTGAAACGGAGCATTTCCACGAGATAATCCTGCAAGAGCTGCCCCAATAAAAGAGTCTCCTGCTCCGTTGGATTCCACCACGCGGTCAAGCTGAGCACAGGGAATATGATGAATTGTCAAGCCATCCATTTCGAGATAGTAAACTCCCTCCGAGCCCCAAGGGCAAACGAATGCTTTCACCCACTGACTCCAGTTCTCGTCCCATTGCTGCTTCAGAATTTGGGCGAAAAACTCGTTTGCGCTCGAGACGGACACAGTATCGCGAAGGTAATCCTTGGACACGAACACGTAGTCTGCCAGCGCTGCCAGTCTATAGACGGATCAGGCATCAGACATACACGGTCAGACCGATCTGAACTTGGCTGTCATATCAAATTACAAATCAATTACGTCTTGGCTAGACCCCATGGATATCTCGGAAATTCAATCTCGATCGACATTTTCGCGTGAGGTGCATTTTCTCGTACATGCAGCATCATTTGCCTCACAGTTTCCATGTTCCGTCCTTCGAAATGAAACCACACGGGTGCATTTGTGTTTTGCGTCATATACCACTCAACTTGTCGAACAAATGATTCACAGTTGAGTTCGGCAATTGTGCGGGAGTGCACAATCGTACGAGACTCCGTCGCTTGACTTGCAATAATGTACTAACGATCACGCCCTCACATAAAAAGTCAAGACAACTAAAGCAGCATATACACAGCTCACTTTGAGCAAGAACCCACCGACACGGGCATGCTGCCTTCCTCTTCAATAACTGCTAATGAAGAGTCCACGTTGAACGCAGCCAAATCGGCATGAATGAACTTAGCATCGTTGTCTTTATCTGGGTCTGTTGATGTGCTTAACCAGCGACAGCGACCACCAAGCTGAGAGCAAACAACCTGCATACGCAAAATGTAATCAGCATTTCTACCAAACCAAAAAATTGTGCATTGCTTTACTTCATATTTCTTTGAAGTACCAAATATTACCAATGCACTTGCAGCGTTTCCTCCTCGGCACTTGTACGTCGCTAGTGATCGTGCCTTCGAGTCCTCTACAAAGCAAATAGTCATTAAACGGTGAGCTTGTTCTCGCCACATTAAATGCAACGTACCTTTTGGGTACATCTCCACCTCGTGGACCACGTCGATGGCGGCGGTTCCGACCGCGATTACTTCCATGCTCTGTCGATTCTTGTTTCTGGAGCAAAATAGTTAATTGCTAAAATAATACTTGCAGTATAGAAATATATGAGCGATGAGACCAATAGCTGCTACTTCAGAATAGTATGGTCCAGCATACTAATTCACCTTTTTATTGGCGAGCCTACAAGAATGGCATCCATCCAATGTACATTTGAGCGAGGTTTTCGTGCGAGGTGGCCTCATAGATAAGCTTCTCGACTTGGCCCTGCACGGACAATGGCAACGTTTCAGTCTCTGGTAAGATGCTTCGATGCGCTGCTGATACAAATGGACGGATGGCATCGCCCAGGTTGTAAATGCCGCGCAGTCGATCGTCGATAGCCTTTAGAACAAGTCGTGTTTCCATTTTGCTGCGCTCACTAGAGATTTCGGCAATGCTTTTTCCTGAGCCACTACTGCTTTGAGCGGCTTTGCCGCGACGACCCCACTCCACTAGCGGATCGTGGATGAACGATTCCAGCACGCTTCGCAGCGTTTCCTTGTTGTCTCGAAGCAACTGCATCGTCACCTCGCTAACGCAACGAAAAACACCCTCGTACCCCGTTATTCCAAAAGCATCAATGATATTTGGTGTCAAACGAAATGGCACAATTTCGGGTTTCGCCAGCTTGAGTCCCTTATCAAAAAGGCAGTCGAAGTCCACGTGCACGCACTCACCGTTGGTACAGTCTATCAAAATGTTCTCACCGTGACGATCACCAAGGCCTACGATATGCCCTACCATGGACCATACGGCTGCTGATCGTGAAAATGCAAGCCGAGCCTCGAACCATGCAGTCGGGTCGGCAAAGTTGTTGTAAAACCACTGGTGAAATCTGGGCGTGAAAACCGGCAAGGATAGCACCTTGCGACGATAGTACTGTGCCATCGCTGAAGGGTCATTTGCAAACTTCTTCTGCATACTCAGATACCGCTCCTTGATTTCGTGTGTCAGTCGAACAGGTTGTATGTAGCCACGTTCAGTTTTGTGGATTTGGCCGATGAGCTGACGCATGGCCTTCGTATGTCTTACCCACTCCATTAACCCACTCTCTTCATTCAGACACACCACGGCGTATGTACGCAAACGGAGCTTGCGCTTACGACCTTCTCGATCCTTTTGAAGGAGTTTGTTAATCATTGAGTTAAACTCCATCATGCGCGCATCTTTGCGGAGGTCGCCAGTCTTTTCACGCTTGCACAAAAACGGATATAACTGACCATCGGTGCCCAGAATTTCGATGCGTTTCGGCTTCTCCTTGGTCATCATCACATCCGCTTTGTCGCTAAAAGCCTTTATGTAAATTTGCGCGTTTGGCGAGAAGGCAACATGAAATTCATCGCGAGGGGCAAGTCCAGCTGTCGGCAAGATTGTGGTCAAAGCCATTTGGATCGGCACTAGAATTCTGGTCCGGATCCGGCTAAGCCGAATGTGAATCTTACGTTGATTGTTTCCGGGGTCATGAGCAGCAAGGCTAATAAGCTCTTCAGCCATTCGCATACCCTCGGAAAAGCTATCGGCAGTTTCCTTCAGACCCTTTGAAAGAAATTCTTGCTGTGTAGTTGAAATAATTTCACGCGCACGATTTCGACGCTGCGGATTCAACGATCGCGAGAGACCCAGCAAAGGCCACATCGCCTGTGTTGGGTAAGCCGTGAGCACGCGAAACATGATCTTCTTGACACCATCAACTACAATCGGATTGGGGTGGCAAATGCGTGACGTCACTTGTGGGAAGCACACAAGCCACTCATACGCAGGCAAAGATTCAGTGGCTTCATTCACAACGTTTGTGATATCATCGAGAACCTTCTGTTCAGTAGTGCACTGACTCAATCCGATCTCGATCTGCCGCAGCACTTTATTCGCTTTGTTTCCTGTTCGCCCATTCGTACCGGCATAAAGTACTTCACCATACTCAAACCATAGTGTTAACAGCCGCGGAAGCGATTGAAACACAAACTTTGTTCCATGTGCCAGTGCCAGCACATAATTTTTCATCAAGTTGATCAATTGAGTGTGAAACGCCGAATCCACCAAAAGATTAGCCACCTCATCACTACCCATTGACCCAGTCAGAGCGTCAGGGTGGCTTACACTCAACAAATACTCGTAGTATTTTGCTAGGAAAAAGTATCCTTTCTCCCAAGTCGGATCAAAGCGAATAACTGCTTGATATCGCTCAACCACCTTTTTGCCTTGCCGCTGGCCTGACTCTTGCATCCAGTTGGTCGCCAAGAGCAGGTTCTTTGCGCAGAAACGAGAGTCTTCGACATCAAAATCCAACGTAGATGCGTCGATATCCACAGGCTCAAGAATTTGCAATGCTTCATACATCCGATCCTGACTCACAAGTAGCTTGGCCTTTTCTATCAGCGCGTACTGATTGTCCAGTGCTTCGGCATGCATTACCGCACTTGTGGCTGTGCGAATAAATCCCTCCTTTCTTGTCAACTTTGCGTACAATAGCCAGTTCTCGGATACTTCGTTTCGAAGCCCTGCCTCGTGCAAAATTACCCGACGGAGTGCCAGTATCGGATCCCGGTACTTGAGTTGCGTTGCCATCGCATCATAGCGCATTTTCCAAGGAGTTTGCTTATTCCAAAGAAGACTGCGACGTCCAAGATCATCATATTGCCTCGCTGTGTGCAAAAATATGAAACCCTGCTCAGCCTCGTGCAAAAAATGAAGATCATGAAGCAGGGGATACGCGCGTTGGTATGACTCAGCAGACGCCGCTGCGAGAGGGCCCATCACTTCTAGTCGTGCTGCTTTTAAGTGACGCTGAAATTCTTCTTGCTGGCCACCATGTAAGCTATGCAGCACACGGACAAGCATTAGCTGCGAGACATCAAACCCTTTCAGCCGAGTGCTAGCTGAACCATCAAATGAGGTAGCCGAAGAGTGAAGTAGCGGATTTTTCTTTTCAGCGCTCAGCAGTTCTGAAAGTAGCTCCCATCGAGATAGCCGCCAAGAGCATTCCAGAGCAAAAGGATACATCGTTGCCATGAACTGCGGTTCTTGTGTTACAATGCCGTTGATATGCTGCAAAGCACTTTCAAGGCGCCCTAGTTGAATGAGGCAACCAATCATTCCTGAATACAGCTCAGGCTTTATCATATCCGGATCTTTGTGTGCATCTGCGTCCGAAATCTGTACAGAAGGCTGCATCATCGCAAGCTGGCTGTAGTCTGGTCTGCTAGCGGGCAGCGATCTCGACGACAAAGCAGACTGAATTTCTTGAATTGCTTGCTCATAGCAAGCGAGTGCATCTTCCCATTGAGCAAGCTGCTCGTGGTCGACAATTTGATGCATCAAGTCAGTTAGGTTCAATCCCTCCTCTTGGGTTACACCTTTCAGGCTAGCTCCGGAACCATTGTGCCGGTATGCGTCGTGAAAGCGACGTAACGAGGCTAAACCGATAAGCGCGTCTGGTTCGTCCACACTCTTGTATAGCTGCTGAAGATAAAAGGCATTTTTTGATATCAAAGAAAGATGAACGGGGCCAGCAATTTCAAAACTGCTGTCTCTTCCTTCAGCCGACGTGAATTCTTGCTGCCGGAGGTAAACTTCAAAATATTGAATAGCCCGAGCATAGGCTTTAATTTTATATGCCGCTCTTGACAGTGATCGACTTGGAATATCTTTCAAAAACTCGTCCAAGTAATCCTTCTCTTGATCATCGATCTCTGAAGGCAAATCGCTTCGGCCAGAAGCAGACGTTTGACGACTCGCAGCACTACTGCTGAGCGCAAGCCGCTTCTTTTCGCTTGTCCAAACCCATTCATTCAGCTCATCGATTGTAGAGAAAATGGTCTGGGAGCATTGATCATGACGATAGAAATAATCACCAATTGATTTTTTAAAATCGACGCCACCGGTGCTGATTGAGTCATTCGAATGGTCTGATTCATGCGGAGCTGCCAAGAAATCGTCCATCAAAATCCCACAATCCTGACCATCTAACACCGCCATGACTTCCTTCTTAAGTTCCTCACCGACTTCAGATCTGCCAGACTGAAGCACATTCTGAAAAAGGTAAGGCAGCAAAAATCGGGATATTTGAGGGCATGTAGCGAGCGCAGTTTCGCACGCCCAGAAAATCTTTCGTTCTGGCGGCTGAGAAAGATGAATTAATCGGCGAACCCACATCAACAGCCATTCTTCATACGATGTGCCATATTTCTCAAAAAAAGAGTAACCATCCTGTGCAGGGCGCAGGCTTCGGTCAGCGCTTGCGAGTAATCGACGGTCAGAGCCGCTTTCATTGCTGCGACGCGAAGACCGGCTACCTGAAACAGAGTAATTTGTTGACCAATATGGCTCAACAAACTGAAGCACATCTTTTCGCTCAAATCGCCTTTTCATCCATTCTGGCATAGGAGCATTAGGGTCTTGTCGTGACTTGAATGATGAACCAAAATTTCTAGTTGATGCTAAACTCAAACCGCTTTGCTGTGGATCAGCTGTCAGTTCGGCTAAAAATTTCAGCAGCTCTTGAATTGCAAATGCCAACGAGTCCATATTCTCAGGTGCTGCGCGAAGTTCCTTCACCAACCATGTCTCAATGAGAACACACGCTAAGTCCTTCGTCGAGTGTTCCATTTTTTTGCATACCTTCTCTTTAGTGACTGCAGTGCCTCGCTGAGGCCCACCAGCAGTGTAGAACATATTTAACGGCACGCGGGCACTATCAATTGCGCCCAAGGCTCCCAAGCAGCGAGCGCAAAGAAGTTTTATGGATTCATGACTTTCTTCGCGCGAAACCCGCAACACTGACTGTACCACGCTAGCAACCGCTCTATCAATAAATATGCTTCCTTCATTCTGCATTAGCACCTCTAACTCAGCACCACGTACAACCAGACATCGCAATAGCTGCGTCAGGGCCATTTCACGTACTGCTACATCAAGATGATTGGCATAGGCCGACAAGTTCATCAAATAGTCGCTTAAAGGCCGACATCTTGGATCTCCGTCTTCCTCATAAAGCGCTACGTAAATTTCATCCAGTTCTGGAATAGAAGGTAGCAACGGGATCGTTGGAAATGCATGCTTCAATTCAGTTTGCTTCTCAATGAACAAATACCGCAGAATGTCTACGGCTGCCACCATACACTTAGGTTGAACTCCATCAAGCGATATGACTTGTGCACAAACGTCATGTTTCACACGCTCAAGAGACTCGAGATTCCAGCTTTGGCTACCACTACCGGAATTACCTTCAACCAAAATTGCTGATGTCTTGTGGCCGAGACACGGAAGTAAGCTAACAACGATAGAGCTCAAGTTTGACTCCAAAGCTTTAGATGACAGCATTCGCAAAAAATGTCCCCATGCATGAATTGCATGCACTTGTAACTCACGTTCCGTAAGACCGATCTTAAGAGTTGCCATCACTTTAGGAACAAAAGAATCGACAACTCCATGACTTTGAATGCTACCAGAATCTACAGAGGAACCGCTGAAAATTTCGAGCAGTCGGTCAATGCTTTTAATGGCCCGAATCTTCGTGCCCGTCGATTTTGTGCCGTTCATTCGATTGCCTAGGTCCGTCATGAGCGCGAGAAAATACTGGCGAGGCATACACCCTTCCCCTAGCTGTAATAGACTTGCATTTTGTACCTCGACCTCAAGTGAATCTTCACGCAAATAGTTTGCCACCTCTCGTATCGCGCGCTTAGCCATGCGAGATTGAGGCCCACCAAGCTCCCACGCCAACAAGCTCATCAACCGCAGTGGTGAATGCATGATCACATCACGAACGGTAGAGTTTTCCGGCAAGAATTTAAACAAAAACTCCCATTCTGCCAAGCGGTTCTGGTTCGAGACTGCTTGCACCTGATGAATAATCAGGTCTTTTAGCACATAGTCAACGTGATTCAGAAGAAGGTTAGTAAGGCTCATCGGGGCTTCACCTACTGCAGCATTATCGGCCATTAAAACGTCATTCCTCTGTCCGTTGAATTCGTCAAGAAAAGCATGCAGCATTTGTTCATTTTGGTGGACAACGTAATGTGGAAGAACGTACGGTGCACTCTCGCGCAAGAAAATTTTTGGAGCAACCTTTCCGCCCATGAACGTGCAGAGAAACAGCTTGAGTGTCTCAGTTTCCAGCAGTTCATCGACGAGGGGGAAGTAAAGCAAGTCAGGATACTCAATGCATAATCGTCTCCACGATACCTGATGGTGTGCAGTGATACGGCAAATCTGGTCGTAAGCCACCACAGCGAGTCGCTCACGATGCGCAATATGAAACCGATTCCACAGAGACACCAAGCGTAATAGAATCCACATGCAATTCTCCCCACGATCCTCTTGTTGCAATTCACATTGACAGCCAATAGTACCTGACGTCAGCATTATTGCTGTGACAACACTGTCATTACAGTTGTCTTCTGCCGCTGTCATAATTGCCTCCAAATGTTCCATCAGTCCAACAAGGCCTTCCTTTACCGGGTCAATCATCGCATCAAGAAGACGCGGCTGATCAACAGCTGCTTCCAGTACTGCTTGACGAGCGAGTTCAGATGGACCCGCAAAGCAGGTCAGAAGGTACTCCACGAATCGCATGGCAGTCTGGTCTTTTTTGTAGTCGACTTCACAATGCTCGAGCACACTCGACAGCGCATTAATTTTTATTACTTGCATGCTTTCAACAGCGGAGTTTGTCTCACCACACAGAATCGGTTCAAACAATGCTAGTGGAATTGGCAGCACTTGGAAGCTGTTAGTGATCTTTCGACACTGACAACTCTTCAGGTGTGAACGGACATCATTATGTTTTCTGTCGCTGCGATAGTCTATCCTATCAGCGGACGCTTGACCGTATGCTGTTGCGCACAGTACTGCCGCACACGATTGTGTAATGGCTGATAAAACCATATTTGATTCAATGCGTTGAATCTTGCCGCTAAAAGCTTCCATGATGCACGTTGCCATCTTTTTCGGAGACGTTAGCGAGCCAGCCACGACAAAGAAGGCTAGCAGTGGAGACATCGCAAGATAGTAGCGCACTGCCACATCATGTGATGTTTCTTGCAATATAGCCCGGTATAAAACTTTCCATGGGAGGGCGTTTCGCCAGGAATCCTCATCATCAATATTGAGCATCGCAGGACGTGACCACACGAAGTATACAAAGAATGGACCGTGGAGGGCCGTCGGTTTCCTGAAAATGCCATCGAGTACAGCATCTGCACTACTGAGGTAATCGTACGACACTTCGCTTAGTCTCTCGGATGGAGACATGTCGTGGCATTTGGGACACCTCTGATACAACTCTAAGAACGCCAGATACTCCCAGCAGTCTGGCACAACAAAATCCTTGTCGAGTTCAATCTCTTGAGTCTCCACACTTTCAATTACTTTGTTCAGCAGGTCACGGTATTTTTCAAGCTCATGGTCATCAAAATACCGCAGCAGGATGATCCATAAGTCCAGGTATTCACTCGTAAGAGAGGTAACCGAAGGTGCATAGGTATTCAAAATCAAGTCAACACGCTGAAGTAGAGCTCGAAAGATGGCAAAGCTTTCTAACCGAAGAAAGACAAGAATATAGCGACGGAGCGGCAAAATTACTCGCAAACTAGTAGTGATCGCGACTAGACTTTTTCGATCATTACTCCCGATCGTAATGAGGTCCAGAATCCATTGGCCTAGCTTATCGTGCATCTTGGTGTTATTCTCGAGATTCAAATCCAAAGGCTGTCTTTGCCTACACAAAGACATTTCTTTTCGTTTTCGCTTCCTTGTTGTATTGACACATTGACTTGAATTTGCTGCCCTATCAAGCCCTTTGCTCACTAGCTCCTTAGATATAGAGCGAAATACTTTCGTCAGCATTTCCTTTGTCGACAATATATGGTGGATGCCATCGACGACGCTCGAAATGAGTGCTGGATTGGATACTTTGATGTCAAAAAGATACTCCAGTAAATTTACAAATAATGACGCAGCAGGCGAACTATTGGATTGACGAGTGTACACTCGCAAAATCGAAAACACCGACATCCAAATCGTTTCCACCCAGTTTCTGCTTTCGTCATCAGTACATCGAACGAGATGTATATTTTCAGACACCCATAACTCGAAATGTGGCCACACAGCATCGGTGGCAAAAGTAGAGAGACAAAGGTAAGTATTGCCAAGCAGTTCAAGAATAGGAGCGCATGCTTTCAACATTTGCGGGTTGGTTTTGTGAAGAAAGCTAGACTTCAAGAACGCTAGGGTCAGGCGTACAAATCGTCTTTCTGTGGGAACGCTTGTCTGCAGCATCGTGTACAGCAGTCGAAGCGTGCATTGAGCGGTCTCATTCGCGTTCTTATTTGATGGTGCACTGTCCTCATCCGTCCCATCGGTGCTCTTCACAAGTGCATTATTTTCAGTGATAAAAAGCTTTGATAGTTGACACAATCTATCAAAAAATGGGTCCTTTTCCAGCATTCCACTATGTTGACAAATGATCCGATCCACCAGAACAATCACAGATTGCTGGAGAGTGACAACCATTTCATACGAGCTGACATGAATAGACGGCAGCATTTGCTTTAATTGCTCCCTACGTTCGCACAGCTGAGTCATATCATTAATCGGCATGCAGCCACAAAGTGTGACATTACTTTTTGCACCCAGCGGTCCAACTGCGTCTTGATACACGTGAATCGCTGTATCAAGATAACACACGATGGTTGCTCCAGTAGGTATAACAGTTGTTACATTTCTGTTCTTTAGTGATTCCTTGAGCAAAAAACAATCCTCCAATAACTGCACTGTATCACGAAAGAAATGAATGAACCCGTAGACGTCGTTTCTTTGCAAGAACAATACCATCTGCAGCGTCACCTTACGAACATCTCGCTGTGCCTGTCGCAGTTTTTCATTCGTATAAAATGATACCATATAAAACATCATCGTTGACATTGTCGGGTACGATGGAAAGCCTGACGACGTCGAGTTTTCTCCACGTGCTGTTCCAGTATTACTCTCCATGAAGAGCGTCATCGAGTGTGGACACACTCCACCACCGAGTATAAGTGTCAGTAGCTGACACAGATCAAGAAGCATAGGCACAGCCTTCTCCGTCGGTAGCGTCGCCACGGGACGCATGAGCATAGGCAGTACTTTCCGCAGCTTGGTCAGCATCGCCTTGCATATACGGATAGCGGCGGTCGTCCTAGAGTCGTACGTGCAGTCTTCATGCTGACGCTGATGATCACGTACAAGCTTCAACAAACTTTTTACATCGCTCTTATCCGCCTCTTCAACGCCTAAAGCCGTCGCGAGCGTCTCCATGGTGCACGTTCAAGTGCCGACAAGTTGATAGTGCGGCAGACCATCACTCCGACTTCAACGTACTTAAACAAGATTGTTGGTGTGGAGTGGTACACATAGCTAGCATCTAAGCCAAACAATTCAATCGCTTGATTCTAGATGGCGACCAAGGGCGTATGGCAGCTCAAGCAAGTGACGATTCGTTACTGTCAACACGGTGGCAGCAGTCGGTATGCGCGGCAATTACTGGGCGACCATCGCTTCTTGAAATTCGTAGAGGAAAACCCACAGGTGCAGTTCGAGACGGAGATCAAGGGTGCACGCCATCCAATTCTCATTGGTGACTATGGTACGTACAGACACGGTCATAGTAGTTGGAATACTTAGACTAATTTCAAGGATCTAAACGGTGTGATTTTGTAGTGAAAAATGAACGCAAGGTGATGGATATCAAGAATCAGGACATTAAATTCATCATGAAGCAGGTGCGGCTCGAGTGCAACTGTGAAAGCTATTCAGTGAAGAATACTGATGTCGATCTCATGCTATTCATCTGTTTTTGCTGTTTATGAATTGTTGGTTGCAGCTGAATCGCCTTCGTGACTCCAGTGGCCGCAAAATGACGCACATTAAGAAACCTGTCATCTCAAAACGTCCGACCATCCAGGGAATCTGGCAGCCAGACGTTGACTTTCCCGAGTTCAAGATCAGTGATCGCGTGTAGAGATTCCTGCTGCGAGGACTACAAAAATAGCAATAGCACTGGCACAGGGCCTTTTCAACAAGAAAAGCATCAACTATATTCTTATAGCCGCCGAAAGACAGAAAAACGAAGTCCTCCGCTTCGGGTCGTACCCTCTTTCTCACCAAACTCTTTGGATCATAGTCTTGCACGACGTCTTGACGCTGCTAGCTACGATAGCAAGAAAGAGACAGCGCTTGGTTTTCCAGCCAGCTTAAAAACCGTGCAGCACCACTTGGGCGTCCATGCAGATCTCCTGGTCCAGCAGAAACTCGCGAATGTTAGTCCGCTGGTCACCTGACAGCTGGATAATCTCGCCTAGCTCGTCGTCCTTTACAATGGCACCATTGCAGCTAAAGTTTTTCTTAAAAGCCTTAAGGATACGCGTTACATCCAAATCATCGGCCAGGCCTTGCACCGTTGTCAGGCATTTGCGGCCATTGCGCTGCTGCACTCGCACGTGCACTTTTCCTCCGCCGATGCTCGAATCGTCCTTGGCATCAGCAAAGGCGTCTGCAGTGCACGAAAAACCGTGTTAAACATATAAGCACATCTATCTACATCTTCTGACAGCAATACATCTGTAATCTCGATCCTTTCAAGCCACAGCAACGCACCGAAGGTCTGGAAGTTCTGAATATCGGCCATGTTTGCTTGCTTTTTGTATAATGTGTGGACAGTTTCTCCCTGATCGCTTTTTCTACAATATAATTGGCTGAAAACGCGCCTGTACCCAATCACTTGGACATCATTTATGCTGCATTTCGATTGGACGAAAGACAGCTTAAAGACGCGAAAGGACTTAATGAGCGTTTTTCCGAGCGTTGTACTCATTAACTGTCATGTCGTCGCCTCGCGCGTCTCTAGCTTATGGTAACAATCTATGTGTAACACAGTGTGCAGATTCTGGCTGGTCGTCGATGGAAAAGATGGCCGCAAGTGAAGCCGAGGATTCGAGAGCTGCAGTGTCAGCAATGTAATGTTACAGTCTGGGCGATAGATCGGCTGCAATACTACGCTTGAGATTTTCTCAGCTATTGCAATTTTTCAATGCTACCTACACAAAGATTTGTTGCTACCTTTTTGAAAAATGATGGAGGACTGTGCGTCAAATCTGGAGGTTTACGTTGCTTACTTTTCAGTTTGCATTGAATACGCTCGACTCACTTGATATATCGTGCAACAGGTACTCGTTAGCACAAACAGCATGACAGTATATAATGTACTTGTTAACATCCGAAAAACCAAAGCGCATCAACTCACGTCGTTTTGCTCTTGTATTTGTAATCAAAGTTTATCGCACGTCCTACACCACAAACGTACAATGACAACAGGGTCACTTTCCAGTAGCAACGAGGACGCAGCAAAGATTTAACATCTTATCGCTCTGGAGACATGATCAATCCGACACGCATCTCACTTTTATTCGCTCTTCTGACCTAGAAGTTGCTTCCTTTTCACGGTGTTCTGACTTACTTAGTCTCCTCCACTTTTGCACGCGAAAAGACACGCTTAACATAAGGCAGCGTCGCTAGCGTAATGGGAAAACGGATGATCTCAAGGCACTCGTTCACGATCACTGCAATGGCAATGTTGCCATAGGTCGGGTCCAGTCTCGCCGGGTCAATGATTTTATCCAGCCCTATCTGCATGATGAAGTCAATGATACTAGTGCCTGATATAAGACCCATATCCAATGCTGCATAGATGGATACACCCGACACAAGGTATAGTGATGTCCACCACGCGAGGAATGGCAGACCGTATTGCTGCAGTGTTCCTAAGAACTTGTTGGGTTTCTTCGCCACCTCGGCCTTCAATGCCTTGAGCTCATTTTTCAATGCTGCATTCTCCTCCATAAGATCCTGTATCTGCTGTTTCTTGCTCTTTCCACTGCTTTGAAGCTCCTCGTCGTTACTCGGGAACGAGGCGAACGAATGGGTTTGGAGACTCTTGGCAAACGAGCTCTGCTCACCAAAACGGAAGCTATAGGAAGCGGTATGAGGCAAACAAGACGATGATGGACGAATCAGACGATGTGCAAGCATTGGAGTGCGACTACACAGCACGGAAGACCGAAACAACGAACGGATGGCGGTACTCTGCAGCATTATAACTTAGCTCGTCCAGTCAGTCACACCAAAAGCTATTAATTGAAATTAGTTACTATTCTGTAGCCATTGTACAACGATAATCATAGGAAATACTATTTCGTAAGTGAAAATAGTATCTCTTATGACTATTATCTAAGAGCAAATAGTATCTCCTATGACCTTTTGGCTCTTGATACTGGCGTAAAAAATAATATGTTTATGAGGCCAGAGTCCAATGACAGGAACAATGCACATTTATAATTGACAAAAGTATGGCAGAACAATTTTATCGGCAGGCGACATGCTGATTCTATTCGTTGGTTCTTGGAGACATCACCATATGAATTGAATGCTATTGTGTTTTACGTTTCCAATTAGCATCATTGCTAGTAGTCGAACCCTGAGCTGTCTTTGCTACACCAATTGAAACCCAGAGGAGTAGTGCTGCACCCATACTCGCAAACAAAAGAGTTACGGAGCTTACAAGCCAAGCTGAGGGAAGATAGCCGACAGGTACAGGTACGTCGATTACTGGAATAGGAGAGATCGTTGTCAGACGAAGCCAGTGGTGGTCGCCGCTTGCTGGATCTGGCAACCTCGTTAGTCCCCAGGTCTGTAAGTCACATAGTAAAGTCAGTAGCTACATGTGGTATACTCGATATGACGAAAACCTCCGCTTACCTGAAAATAGCTCTGTATAGCATCATCATTCGATGACTTCAGCTTCCTTTTGACGGAACGATCTCCACTCGGGCAGACTAGGAACAAGTCGGGAGCAATGACGGATGCATGGCGATACAAATCGGTTTCTGACGGGGCTTGATACCGAAAATGAAGTGGAAATTCTATGTGCGCTTGGTTCGTTGTTGGCCTGTTTAGAACACCAACAAAGCACGGATTTGTCAACGACACGGGGGCTCTTTTACATCAAAAGCAATCAAGAGAGCAATCTGAACAAACATTGTAAACTCGAGACCAACAACATGTTGAGAGGATACAACCGAGGGCCGCTCGATTTCAATGTGCTTCGTGAAGGATGCAAGTTTGAGATCGCCAAAGCGCTCCATTCTCTGCAACACCACATGAGTTAACACGCATGTACGTTAGGATGCACGATTTAGCTTCTGATAGCTTCAACTTACCCGAAGCTCGTCCAAGTCGAGATACACGGTCCTAGACACTGGCACAAGCATAAGAACCGTTTTGTCGCAAGTAGTCTTACCGCAGACTTCATTATCAAGGAGCTCCACATCCATTACATACCGACGATGAAAACCTTCTCCAACGATAGCAGCCTGTATTGACGCCGCTACTGCAGTCTTTGCAATTTGGACCTCAAACACAGATGGAGCAACTCCAGGCGCTCCGGGCTTGCCATCTCGTTGAACCCAAGCGTACTCGAGTTTGTCAAGACCCAGCTCTCGGTCAATTGACGTTACAACTAGAATGTCGCTTTTGGTCTCACGTACTGGAAGAGTGGCCACCCATGGTGCCTGCACTTTGTCCGATTGTGATACCCATACCTCCAAAATCTCTGCTTCAATCATCGCTGAAGAAACTGGACTGCGACCGAGTTTCACCACTGCTAAGCAGTGTTCGCGCTGACCCGTGTAGAAGCTTTGTTTGTTCTCCAGCACTGTACGTTCTGCCACCGACTTGAGTGAATCAACAGAACCACCGTTTGCCACACGGATCATTCTGTTGAAAAATGTAATGCTCTCATTCTTGGCCGACAACGGGAACGACGATGCGTAGCACAAACTTGATGATTTGTCTGTAGACTCGTGTAAACTCTCTTGAAGTGGGTTCCTTGCCATCCAGGAGTGGAAACCGCACAGCGACTTGGCCAAAAATCCTACAGTAATGGTCACCAATAAAGTAAACAAGCTAAGTCATAGACTGTGTTCGCCCCACTCCTCGTACACGCCACCACTGCACCTCTCGACAATTGAGGCAGGATATCTATCGAGGGTAGTACAATGTGTAAGATGTTGCGAATATTCTCCTCAATTCGCTCATGCACCGTTTCATTGACAAAGTTCCAAGAACCTTCGTCTCTTAGCTTGGTTTGTAAATGGATACCCTCTGCATTTATCCCATCAAACCGTTGCGAATTTGTCCAGAAGCGATCGAACGTCGAACTGCGTGCGTCACGAGCCGGGACCCACACAATCTATAACAGTAAGCGTACAACTCATTCTACAGCTTAGCTATAAAGTATCAATTAGACAAGAACCCATGTTGGTCTACTACCTCAATGGTAGAAAGTAGCGGATCCAAAAGTATCTTTACACAAGAACCAACATAACGTCAGCTCATTTATACGAATAATAACAATAAAGTAGTAAAGTATTAATATACCTCTGACTCAGTATCAAATTTTGATATCAAAGGTGCCAAGAGTTCCTCCATCTGACGCTATGACAGTTGACAAACCATCTAGAGAACGCGTCAAAGTACTCATCAAGGTAAGTAAACAATAGTATTGCAACAAGACTAGTACATACCTTCATCAACGGATAGTGATAAAGTTGCATTTGTTTGCTGTGGCCATAGTGCATAAACTGGATCGTTCGATCCATTCACACTAAGAAGATTTACAGCAAGAAGTCCTCCTAGCAGTGGAACCCAATGTATCATTGCTATTTTGATGTTATTATTTCGGATTGAGGGAAGAATAAATAACTTCGCTCTACCTCCAACATTTAATATACGCACTTTGTAGCTGGTGTATACTACACAATCATCCTGGTATTCACACAAAAAGTCTTCGATCCACCCCTCGCCAGACAATAATAATGAGCTACCGCGGCATGAACTCGAACGCTGAGATTGTGAGCAAATCACAGGCTCTTATGGTCAACGTAAGCGCTGCAAAAGGTCTCCAAGGTGTACTTAAATCCAATCTAGGTGCGTCTTTTCCTCTCTCTTCCTTACACCAATAGAATTATCCATCACGATGAAGGGTTTTTTATTTTACTTACATTGGTTTTATAAATAAAATACCTTGCAATATAAAATTTGTAGGACCTCGTGGAACTCTCAAGATGCTCGTAGGTGGAGCTGGACAAATTAAACTCACAAAAGATGGCAATGTATTGCTCCATGAGATGCAGATTCAACATCCAACAGCGGCTCTAATCGCCCGTGCGGCTACTGCACAAGACGACGTGACGGGAGATGGAACGACGTCCACTGTTCTATTCATTGGGGAGCTACTGAAGCAAGCGGAACGCTTCTTGGCTGACGGTCTACACCCGCGTGTTCTGTCGGAAGGCTTTGAGCTTGCTAAAGACGAGACGTTGCGTGTGCTGGACAGCATCAAGATCACACGTGAGGATATCCTCAAAGACCGAGAACTGCTTTGTAGTGTTGCACGCACATCGATGCGCACAAAACTGGACCAGAAACTTGCTGATCAACTAACTGAGATCATTACGGACGCTGTGCTGACGATCGCTGTGCCGGATCGTCCAATTGACCTGCACATGATCGAGATCATGCACGTACGTGACGTGTGCTTGATAAAGTGATTGTTGTTTTATCCTCGATGCTGATATGTTTACTTGTATTGATGGATATTTGACAGATGATGCATCAGAGCAGCAATGACACCCGTCTCGTTAAGGGGCTGGTGCTTGACCACGGATCACGCCACCCGGATATGCCTACGTCACTGGAGAATTGCTACATTATGACGTGCAATGTATCGTTGGAATACGAAAAGAGTGAGGTAAACTCGGGCTTCTTCTATAACAGCGCAGACCAGCGTGAAAAGATGGTGGAAGCCGAGCGCAAGTTCACGGACGACAAGGTCCGACAGATTATTGAGCTGAAACGCGAGGTTTGCACCGAGGAAAACAAAAAGAGTTTTGTGATTATCAACCAGAAGGGTATTGATCCTCTGTCGTTAGACATGCTGGCAAAAGAAGGTATTCTGGCCCTGCGTCGCGCCAAGCGTCGTAATATGGAACGGATAACGCTTGCCTGTGGTGGAATGCCCATCAACTCGACGGATGACATGGACGAATCCATGCTGGGTTACGCTGGCAAAGTGTACGAGCAGACTTTGGGTGAGGAGCGCTACACGTTTGTAGAGGATGTTCAGCATCCGAAGTCTTGCACGATCCTGATCAAGGGTCCGAACGAGCACACAATTGCGCAGATCAAAGATGCGATCCGCGATGGTGTTCGCGCTGTAAACAATGCCATTGAAGACAAGGGTGTCGTTCCGGGCGCTGCTGCCTTTGAGCTGTCTGCCCACGAGGCCCTTAACAAGTTTAAGGGCACGGTGAAGGGCCGTGCGAAGCTTGGCGTGCAGGCTTTTTCGGACGCTCTGCTCATCATCCCCAAGGTATTGGCTGAGAACTCGGGTCTCGACGTGCAGGACACTCTGATCGCTGTTCAGGAGGAGCACCAGAACTCGGGTATGCCTGTGGGTATCGACCTCTTCTCGGGCGAGCCGATGCTGCCGGAACAGGAAGGTATTTGGGACAACTACCGAGTGAAACGTCAATTCATTCACCTCGCTACGACACTGGCTTCGCAGCTACTGCTTGTTGACGAAGTGATGCGTGCTGGCAAGCAGATGGGTGGGGGTGGTGGTATGCAGCCTGAGCAGTAAGTAGGAAAGGGGCGGATACGTACGTAGTTTGTTTCCCACACGAATGTATCTGCTCACGACTCGTTTTTGAGTCATAAGAAAACACGAAACACTAAACATTGAGGTATATAAAGTCGATCATTTCTACTCGTAGGCAGTTCATGATGATAATCAAAGACGAAATATCCTTAATGCACTCACAGCGCTGGACAGTTGCACGAACGCACAATCGCAATACATTCTCTTTCCATTGGCTACCATTCTAATCTCCAGCTATTTTTGTTATCCAATCGACTTGCAAAACATCATTAAATCCCCACGTCAGCAATAAAAAAACACTCAACAACTTTTACCAACAGACGTCAATAGAGTTTTCAACTCATCTCTTCATCTCATTAAAAGACCTTGACACGGTTACTTTCTAACACCTCAACCACAACGTCGTGTAACCTCTGGAAGATCGACTTAAAATAGCGTCATTAAGCTCATCGTCTACACTTTGTGACGAAGCGACTATCAAAAAATCATGCCCATTGATAATACCATGAGGTCGACAGTACTTCGTTTCGATCGCTTTTTTACTCGTGCTGATCCAGCCATGCAAAAACGAGTACAAAAAGCATTGGACGTGATGCGGAGTGCTATTGATATTTTCGGTCTTGAGGGCGTGTGTTTCAGTTTTAATGGTGGCAAAGACTCGACGGTGGTGCTTCATTTGCTTCGTATTGTCGTAGCTAAACGTGTGCTGGAGGAGGTACAATTGGCACATTGGAAGATCCAACAGAAAGCTGAGGGTGGGACAACTGTGACATCACCGCGAAATAGCTTCGTCTCGGTGGATTTACTGGATGAACAAGAACTCGAAGCTCGAGTCCAAGCACAATTGCAACACGTGCCGGTTATGTATTTTGACTCGTACGATCAGTTTCCAGAGATACGAGACTTTACGGAAGCATGCAGTAAGAAATACGCTCTTAATTGTCACGTGTACAAGTGCTCATTTGTTGAAGGAGTCAAAGATATTTTAGAGAAACTCAAGATTAAAGGCGTGTACATGGGCGTACGTGGAGGAGATCCACATACGGAAAATTTGGAGCACTTTTCGCCTAGCAGTCCAGGGTGGCCACCATTTTTACGTGTAAACCCGATCTTAAAGTGGACTTACGAGGATGTCTGGCGTTTTTTGCGTGATTGTCAGTTGGAATACTGCTCATTGTACGACCACGGATATACATCGCTAGGAAATATTTTCGATACTGTGCAGAACCCAGAGCTTTGGCGGAAGGGTGAGATGGGCAAGGAGGGATACTATTTGCCTGCATACAAATTGAAGGATGGAAGTTCTGAACGCTGCGGGCGACAGAAGAAGGCGCACACGACTTCAAAGTCTGACTGAGCTGGAAACAATCATGAAACAGCTATTTTTACATCGAGTGAATAGAATTAGAAAGGAATTGGAATTTGACATACCAACCTCAGTCGTTCTTGTATTGATACTATCCTTACCTTCGGCGTGACCGCGAACGAGAGCGCGAACGCCTTCTAGGAGATGGAGATCGAGATGAAGATAGATGGCGATGACGACGGTGTCGATCTGGAGATCGTGAGCGGCCGCGAGAGTCAAGTAGCTCTGCTCGTCTGGACGAGTTTTCATACCTACGACGGTCAGCTGGTGATCGCGAACAGGATCGACTGTTACGATGTCGACTTTCAGCGTGTGACCATCGACCTACCACTCGGCTTCTTCCTGAATGGCTTGGTGGCGAGCGTGAACGCGAACGATACCTTGCATCTTCATTATCCATGCTATGGCGAGGGTAGCGTGATTTTTCGTCGTCCTCATCCTTGAAATGACAAGAGAGATTGCGGGCTGCTCTTTTCTCTTTCTTGCGCTCCTTCTTTTCCTTCTTTTTCAATTTCTTGGCTTCCTTCTCAACCTTTCGCGTTTTTTTTCGTGCTGTCTTGGCCTCACTCTCTGTCATCACGTTAATTGTACCTGGCAACGCATACGTTGTATCTGCCTTGCCACTTGCAAGTTGATCCTTATATCTCTCAGCCAATGTGCGTTTCGTTCCTGTTTGGAATCCTGCAGCTTCCACTGGAGCTGCTCCTATCCCTTCAATTCTCTCGACATCCATGCCATCACGTTCTGCTTCTCCACGTTTCAGCAGCATCTTCATCTCCGACGCACTCAAACCTTCAACAGGCTTATGACGTCTCTTAGGTGCAAAACCTCTACATAGCCACAACAAATAATAAATAGAGCAATTAACACTGTAAACTCGCTACCAATAGTCAAAATTCCCTCCTTCTTAGTGACGTACAGCGCTTCATTCATCAAATCTTCGTCCCTCTGTTTCGCCACTTCCAGTTCCGTCTGCAGCACTTCATCTCGTTGTAATTTACTTGCTTTATTGTACCATGTAATGTCCTTTCCCTTCTGCCAACGACCTACAGGCGCCTGTACCGAGTGTCCCAAATAATTTTCCCGATACTTGTCATTCTTGACGTCTTCCCACTTGAAATCTAGTGCATCAATTTGCAAGAAAAAAGCACCACATGTTGCCTTGTTTATATATTACACTGTTAGCAAAGAATTAATAGTAAACAATGCGTACGATCGGCACCACCACGCGTGCCGCCCACACGATAATTAGACTTTCCAAAGCTCATTAAGCCACTTTATAAATTGTGTGTGGGTCACATCGTAAATTGGACACAAATTTGTGTATCATAAAATATGGGGTACCATTATCTAATTATTCATAACCTAACATTATATTTTTCGAGAAATTTCGTGTAACGACGTCATGTCCGACACGAATAGGTCCAATGGTGGGGGTATCTTTGCTACTGGTAATAACACAAGTGGCGTCACAAGCGGTGGACCAGATCTTGCTAATATGAAAACCTACAATACTTTTCTTGCCGCCGATCCGGTGTGTCCGTAGCTTTAAATAATCTCGACAAGCACATAGAATATGTTTCAATTATTATTGGTGCTGATTATTTATTGCATTGAAAAAAACAGAGTGTGCGGTCATTGATGCGCACGTCGGACGACATTGAGCGTACACGACGCAATGTGGCAGAGTCCGAGGAGATGGCTAAGAACGTGTTGGTGGATCTAGAGCTGCAGCGCTCTCAGCTTCATGACATGAAAGAAATGGTCTCTGAGACTTCGAGCATGACGGGCCAAGTGCGTCACTTGTTGCAGATCATTTCCAAACGCTCCTATCGAAAGAAGATTTGTCTCTGGCTGGTCATTATGGTGCTATCTATTACGGATATGCTGGTATTCTATCTATTATTTGTCCGTTAAAAGTATGTCAGAAGCTGAAGAAATGCAAGTTTTTACAGAACTTTGAATGTCGCTTAGTGGTATTGTGACATTATTATTAAGAGCAAAAAATATTTTTGTGTAAAAAAAATTGCTGTTTAAAAAAATAGACTCCTGCTCTGCAACATTTTGGTGGGTGGCAGAAATTAGCAAGTTATTTATAATGTGTCGCAAGAAATAAAAAAAAGGCATGATCGTCGCCTATCGAAGCATCGGGTAGCTACGCTCTTGATTTTTTATTGGGTTTTCTGTTAAGAAAAAAAACAGAAACTAGAAATGTATCAATTATGCTTGAATATTAACATCAAATATTTTACGAAACCTGGTTTGTATGGAGCTTCTTCGAAGAAATAAATCTAGCTTCTGACATACGACGTACTAGACATCTCTCACTTTAAATCGTAACTCCAAGTACTCGAGTTGATAACTTCATCATCACTTTATCATCTGTATACAAACAACTTGTACACGTCAATATGGTCAAGTCTAATGAACGTCTCGCTACTGCCGAGCACGAGTTTGCGTTACTAGAAAAAGCACTCATTCAGACTGCAGACGATGCTGCCAGGTGTCTCAAGCTACTCAAGAAAAACCTCTCGGACTATGATCATCACCATGGAAACTACTTTATCAACACGGCCACGTCCTTCATGCGGAACGATATGCGATCGGCAAAAGACACGGCCTTTAACTTGAAGCACGTGGCACACCAGATCAACAAAAATCTACAGCCATTTGAATCGGGCGTTATTTCTGCACGCAGCATGATGGATGTTGTTGCCAAATCCATGGACGCCCTCAATACAACAGCTCGTAACTATGACGAGAAGAACGGACGGTTGAAAGGTGTTAACGGCGTGATTGACAATGCCATCGGCAAGAATGACACGGAAAAGCGTGAGAAGGACGACAAACATGCTACCAGTCTTTTTGGTACGAGCGATGAGAGGAACATTGGTGGTCTGCTCGGAAAAACGGACGGCCATCATCATCATGGCGGCGGTATTCTCAGCAGCTCTGACACAGTCGAGCAGCTGGTCAAGACGACGTTGCACGACAACTTTAATGTCAGTGCACTGAGTCATCAGATCACAATTGCCCAGAAATCGCTGTCATCGTCGCCGTCTTTCGTAGAACGTGCTAAGGAGGTGATACATGATGTGAAGGACAAGCTGAAGGGTGAAAAGACAAGCCCAACGCACGACGGTCATCACGGCAACAAGCATCTTGTGGACCATAAGGAAGGGTATTAGTGTGCACACTAGTAGATTTTGCATCTCGATTACCTAGGCATGTGCTGCAAGAGAACAAGGTGAGGTCAGTGTCACATAAACATCTTTTGCTATGAATAGTCGTTTACGATTTCGAGTGTCCAGCTTTGATGTAAATCGATAGTTGACTAGTACCATTTTATACCAGCTCAGTGTACTTTGAAATGATGATCTGCCATCCCTCGATTGAACACTAAGACAGATGTAATCCATTGACATTCAGCCGCGTCTTAGCAACTAATCGTGCCTTTTTCAAGCGCCTTCAGATGAAGACTTACTCGAAATCCAGTCTCTTCTTAACATTCTCTTCATCACTGACAGGAAGAGAAGATTACTCGATATTCAGTCTCTTCTAAGTATTCTCTTCATCATGGACAGGAAGAGATGATAAAAAACTCTCGTGTTTATTTTGAAGAGCTCCAACACAAACACGACTCCACGTCTTCTTCATTCTCCAATTTGATTCCAACTTGGTACCCCAGTATTTCCTCACATCAACCTCTAACCACTATGCAGCTTAGCATTATTCTCTTCGTTCTCCTTGGCGCTTATGGAGCCGCCGAAGACGCCTGTCCTCCAGCCGAGATCAAAAAACTTGCTGAGCTTTATGCCAACCCGAACCTACATGAGTGCCAGAAAATCTCGGCCGACTTTTCCATCGCTTCACCTACGGACCCTCAAGTCAAAGCCATGTGTAATTCTGACTCGTGTCGTAAGCTGATCAAAGACGTCCTCGCATTGAAACCTGAAGACTGCTACCTGTCTTTTGCCAAGATGAAAGTCAACGCGTACAAGGTCGCCAGCAGTGTCGATGATGCGTGCATGACTGACATGAAGAAATACAATGAGACCTGGAAGTCTCAACCGGCTCTGAAACCCATCGACGGTGAGCAGTACCGCTACGAGCAAGAAAAGCAAAAATTTGTCAAGGATACCAATGGGACGCACGTTGTCAAGATTGATGATGCGCAAGATGAAGACTCGATCGACAGCATGGCGACAGAACCCGTTCCAACGCCAACCACGACGCTCCCGGCGAAGGTCTAAAAAACGCCGAAGAAGCTATAGCAACTTGTCTCAAACTTGTATTCATAAGTGCTTGTACGACATCCGCTGCTTACTTCATTCAAGAAACAGACGCGTTCCAGCGTTGCCATGACTAGATGTATCACCACGTATTGTAATGAACTTCGTATAATTTGAGTAGTGTCTTTTGCTGGTGAATATGTTAAAGTGCTGACTGCTTCTGATAGATAAGTGCACTGCTAGTTCGTCTGTCTTGTTGTCGCTGCCATTTTGTTTTTACAACAAATCGATGGCGTTCATTGCTACTTCCAGCGCACAAGAAACAATTATGGCAAGCAATTGTCTTTGCAATTCCTTATTCCACCGAGATAATGTCGTCAATTGGTGACACCTTCAGTTGCTGAGCAACGGTTGCAACTTCCGAGACGAAAGCTTTTGCGTTCAACCACACGCCTGCAATCGATCTAGGCGCGTGCTCAATCAATTGACTGCGCAACAGTTCATTCTCATATCCCGAGGCTGGGGCTGAATACTTTAATTCTGATGCAGACAGAGCAGAACAGGCGAAAGCTGCGTCGGCTTCAACGACCGACACACTTCCAAGCTGCCAAAGACGTGGGTTTTTCATGTCAACACATGCTGGTACCAAGTTGGCAGCTTGACAATCGACGCTCTGCCAAGTCTTTGACTCACGCATGAGTGCGACACACTTGCTAGCATCAAGCTCGTGCCCCTTAGTTACAGTCCATACTGTAGCCT